AGCGCAATTAACACAAAGGGAACTTCGAGTGTATATCTGAATGTATATACATATACATTTGCGGGTAGATCCTTTGAGTGCAAGGAGGCGGAAAGAGCGGCGAAAAGAAACGGATACTTATTTAAAATTTATGTAGCGTAATTACAAGCGATTTAACCCGTTGCCAAAGGGCCACAGAAACGGAACCTTTCTTCTTTTTTTCCCTTTTTTTCTCCAGTTCTTGTAGCCTTGCATCAAATTAAAAATGTGAAAATAAAAAAAAAATAAAATAGAAAAAACCCGCTGTTGGGTGGTGGCGTTAGTGTGTAGGGGACAATTGCGGTCGGTGAGTGGAAGAACTTGTGCATAATCTTTATCGAAAACAATCTCATACGCTGGAGTGGTATAACCTTTTGGTGGGCACCTTTAATTAGTCGAATGAATTCCCCGGGGGGCAGCATAATGATGCGGATAAAACAGCTGGAGTTTTTGTTTTGGAAGGAGCGAAAAGGGTGCATACGGATTATCAGATGTAATAGTTTGTTGATCTACTGAGTTTTTCTATTTAATTTTTAAACCATTTTTAGGATGGCTTAAATACAAATACAATCCAAAGTATTTTATTATTGGGATTTAGGTAAAGAAAATCAACAAATTTGATTAGAGATGTGTTTTATTATTTCAGTAAATATTTTACTGCGATTTTTATTTCCACTGTGGGCTTGTTGTACATATATACTGTGATGGGTTAGATTTATGGCACTGGAAGCTCTTTAATTACACCTTGCGGCTTGTGTTAAGCTAAATCTGGGCAGTTCTCTGCTCTCCATTTGCCGGTGGATCTGCCTGCTTTGTGTATAATTTAATTAGTGACACCCACGCAGTCTGCGTAGAGCCACAGTTGGAGCGGTGTGTCTTTGGCCTAATGATTTTCATGTCTCGGCATACTAATTTTCCTCCAGGTCGCTCGGCTCCACCTCTTTCCCAACCGCGACTGCTGGTGGTCCTGGGCTAAGTTATGGCGGCTCATTACACCGTCGGCATAAAGAAATTACTCACCATTTGATGCTCGAATTTATTGCGTGAGGTTGTCAAGGGAGTGGCCTCCGCAAAAAACGGGGGAGGGGGAGATAACGAAATTCAAATCGAATGCTGATTAATGCGTCATGCAAATTGAAACTGAAGTGATATCGTCTTTCACGGCCAGAGAGGCTTGTTAATGCGCCCTGTCAAATGGTTGACAATTTGCCACATTTCGCCCCAATTCCAGTGGGTGGCAAATTATACAGACGAATCTGTTGCAAGTGAATGGGTGAAGCCGTGATTTTCCAGCATCCTATTTCTCACAGCCAATGTGTGTGGTTAACACCGTTTCAAATCAAGCTCTATAAAGACAGACACGTTTTATTTGTCTAAAAGAGATTTACTATTAAAATATTTATTAGGAAAGAAAATAAATTTACTAATAATAATATATTTAATTATATCCCTAACAAATGAATTAGTTTTCATAACTAAGAAAATGCTTAGTATTCTAGCTAACAAAGATGACCCAAAATAACCTAAATGTTTTCGCACAAAAACTTGATATATAAAATGTTTGTTTAAAGAATAGTTTTCAGATATTAAAATTAAATAATATAAAATTCAACTTCTCAAAGAAAAGTTTAAATATTTGTTAACTATTTGCACAAAAAAAATAAATATAATTAATAACCAATAATTATTTTAATGAAATAGTCATATAAATCATTCACTAAAACAAATGACCAAAGAACCATTAACGTTTTTCCCCCAACACTTTTCTATTTAATCAGCTCCGTAATTATGCTATGAAACTCTTAAATGTTGATTAGCGCCTTTACTTGGGTCACTCAATTCGTGATAAGATAGTCGGCCCGGGCATTAATACTTTTGATTTAATAATTACGCATCGCATAAATTAATCTGCGAGAGGTCGCGCCCGGACATAAACAACGCGGTAAGCCGGAGGATCCTAAGGATCCGAAGGATATCCCAATCCTTGGACCCCGGCCATGAATAAATTCGTGGGGCCGCGCACAGTTCGCCTTCGGTTATCAGTCAAGTCGAGTCGTAAAAGCCGCAGAGCACAGCCTCAAACTCCCGAGACCAGAAAGCTTGTAATCTTAATTATATATTACAAAGTGTTGGGGTTTTCGGGTGGATGCGGTGGTGGAGGCGGAGGCGGCTCAGTCTCGCCCTTTTTGTCGTGAAAAATAAGCAGGAAATGAATGAATTTTTCAGTGACATAATCCCGAAATGTGCCAATGTGTTGCCACACCCACACCCACCTCCGCACCCGCCCCCTTTCAAACCGCAATCCAGCAAACCATCTTAGAACCTAAAGACGCACCACCGCCCCCCCCTCGCAACCCACTTGGCAGCCTCAACCCCCATTCCTAGCACTTGTCATAAAATATTGTCTGGTTGGGAAAAGAAAAACTTTTTCAATGCCCTGCCCCAAGAAGACAAAACGTAACCACACTGAAAAAATAACCGAAAGGTTTCTGAATCATGCAATTTTGTTAGCAACTTTTTATGCTTAATATAAAAAAGGAAATAAAAATATATTAAAATTATCCTTCTTAAGCTAAGCTCCAAAATAATATACACATTTTAATACGTTAAATTCATGCTCGATTTTTAGATCTTTTATATATTACTGTGAGATATTTATATGATTTTCTCATTTATTTGCAATTTGTATTGATTTGTATGTCTTATATTTAATGTGAATTTAACAGAGTTTTGAAAAATTCTATGGATTTTTGAAATATTCACCCTATAATTAATTTTACCAAACACACATTAGTCACCAAAATATTATAAACAGATAAATTGTTATTGAAATAAATTTCAACAATATTTTTCTAAGTGCAACCCCCCTCTAAACCACCCGCTGCGTAGCAACCCCACCCACTAAATCACCCCCTCTTCTAGTGCCAGACATTGAAGTGTATAAGAATAAGTGTTGGGATTAGGCGCTTGACTTGAAAATTTTATAAAACAAAATTTTTGCATAAGCTCTGCTGGGGCTGCCTCCCAAAAAAAACAAGGGAAGGGTGGTTTTGTTGGTTAGCAGAGTTAAGCGCGTTAGCTGTTCAAGGATTTAATGGAAAATCGCGTTGGCGTTCGCCCGCTGAGGAAAAAGCAGAGTGCAGCCACTTGGGATGAAGTGGAAAAGTGGGCGAAGGGCGGAGCAGGAAAAGCGGATGAAAATGGGAACTGGCAACGGGGTAAATCACGCATTTAATTCCGAAACATTTAACCGTTTATTTTTTGCCAGCTCTTATCTAATATTTTACAAACCATTTATATGATGATTAGCGTAAAGTGTTTTTGGTAAAAGGAGTCGGGACGGGAAAATGATCAAAAAATTGGACCAGACTTAGGAAAAATGTACTGCTTAAGAAGTCGAAAGCAGTTATATAAAATGTATATAAAAAGTAATAAATTAGTTTATTGGCTCCCACGTTGGAAAATAATAAATAATCCTGTATAAAAGTAAAAATATTTTCCATTGAGCGCATTTATGCAATGATATTCATAAATAAATGCATAACTTTCTTTTCTTTCGTCAGTTGGGGAGCATAATAAATAATTGCACACTTTTTTCGCCGGCAGAAAGCGGATGTAACGCCCCGGACCATGGAAATTAAGTGAAAAATTACAAGGCAACAAATAATTATACACTTTGCCCCTGCACTTGAGGCTGCCACACACTGCGGCTGGATGGGTGTATGGCGGTGGGTGTATGGCGGTGTATGGTGGGTGGTGGGTGGTCTAGAAGTGGACTGGGCGCGGAGGTCACACAATGGCATTTGTGCTTGCATAATTATGAAATTACTCTGCCACAGTCAAGTGGCGAAATTCTTGTGTGTGCACTTCCTCACCCAGTTCCACTTCTCCAGGGATTCTCCTTTCATTTCTTGGCCTTCTTTTGTGCCATTTTGCGTACAAAAAAAATTCAGTAAAAATTATAGTATATTAAGTTTGTAATATTTTGTTTTAGAGGTCAGCTAATATTTGGCAAATTATTAAGACAAAATTTTATTATAATTGTTTTAATCATTTAAGAGATCTTGAATATGTAATTACAAGTTCTTAACTTCAACAATTACAAAAATTCTTAATAAGGATTTACTTTTAAGGTAAATGAAGTAAATGGATCCGTTTATGAAGGGTATACGCCTCTTAAAATGGAAGGAAGGCATGTCATTCTTCATGAGAGTTTTGTATGATCTTTCTTAAAAGTTAACCCTACCCCAAAACTCTTTAGAATCCATCTCTTGCTTAGATTCTTTTCCAACTTTTCCTTTCCATGGTTAATGCTCACTTTTAATTCCCCACTCCGTTTGCCACCGCTCATTAGTCTTACAAACTATGCACATGCGAACCTTCGCCATTGTCCTGCGATTCCGCACTCCTCATCCTGCTGGAAACTCCTGCGCCTGCTCCTGCTCCCATCGTGATCACCCTGAATGGACGGCACATCCTGTTGCCAGGACGCAGACAAGGGCGACTGCGACGGTATTCAAGGACTGCTACGCTATGGAAAAATCCCTTTTTATGAATGAGTCGCGGTGCCATTTGCATATTAACGGCTTGTAGCCCTAATATGTGCACACTCCTGACCCTTGGTCCCCGACCTGCCACGCCCTCCCTTCTCTCCACTGTATTTGCATAATAATTTAATGGTCGGCTGCAGTGGAATAGAAATGGGAAGGGCCAACACCAGAGTAAAAGCCATTGTTGCCGGCCAAGTAGGAGGCCATTAACGGAAGTAAAAGCCTCCGACCAGACAGCGAAATTATATCTACCGTTTTGGTCCTCTCTCTGGCGTTTCTTAGCTTACAAAATATTTAAAAATGGATAAAGGTCTTAATTTAATATTATATCTCAATATCACTGGTTTTATTTTCTTTTTATAAAATGTAATATTAATGGTGAAATAAAAACAGTACTTGAATACTCCCTTTAGATGGGTAAACATAAGTTAATTGCAAAGACACATGAGACATCAATTTATTTTAGAATTAATTATGCAAAATAAAATTATGCGATTTGGTTTTTCCAATGGCATTAACAATAGTTACTCAAAAGCTCAAGTTGATATAATGGTAATCGATGTGTGCTTGAGTATATTAGAAGCTTTTCAATAATCTCGACTCAATCAAGAGTTCACTCAGTGGTTAGATTTGAGTGCATGTTTTTCAAAATCCACTTCCTGAATGGCGCTATGCGTAAAACTGCGAATGTATCGCGATCCGCGTCGGGCAGTGAAATGATACCGCTTGAAATTCCGATGAGGTAAAAGTTTTTAGGTTTTCCGTCCACCACCTCGATGCCCATAAGCGGTGATCCGGGATAAAAGTTGTCGTGCTTGTCCCGCACAGCACACAGATTATTCTCGGACAGCTGGACAGGGATCATTTTTTTTGAGGTGCAGTACTGAAAACTGGCCGTGTGCACCGCCACCTTTTGCCGCCAGTCGTCGTCCTCCCTCACCCGCCATCCAGTCGATGCCGGAATCTTGAATCCCGCCATTTCTAGTCGCTGTCCGACTTGGTTGCACTCATCGCCATCAGCAGGTGGCAGGCAGATGGGCTGCAAGTAGTCCGTGAGTTCCACGCTCCGCACAAGCTTGGCTAGGGCGATGTCGTACTGAAGGAAGCCCGGACTCGGATGTCTCCGGTGTCGCGGATGGACCACCAGCTCCTCGATGTCCACTTGATGCGTAGGCGGCACGCAGAACCCACCTCGATTCGGACGACAAACACCCAGATGAACGGGATTGTAGACTCGCCAGACCCCGAGCTCCATAAACGTGGGTACGCCCGCATCCCCATCCATTGCACAATGGGCGGGAAGAATCGCATAACGCTGGCTGACCAGTACCGAAAGGCATTTAAACTCCGCCTTGGAATTTCTCGATTCACCGTGCCCAACGCGACCAATCCAGGTGTACTCGTCCGCTTCGGTCACCTTTTTGCCATTGTAGAGGTCGCTTTCCCGCACCATTCCACACTCATCTTGCCCGCGAATTGCTATAAAAATAATGCACTTTAACTTAATTCAGTTGTAAAGAGATGATGGAAATAGCTTTGCTTTGTTTGTAACAATGTGCTACATTTGTTGATCTTTTGGATTCGGAAAATACTGTTCGAGATTTGATAAAGCCCGCTTTTGTTTCAAAAACTTTAACGAATTGAATAAACACTTATGTTCAAGTCACTAAACTTTTAACTTACGCGATAATATGTTAAATAATGCCAAGAATAAAATATATACTTGACTGCCGCCAAACATATTGCTGCAAGTTTTAATCTAAAGTGAATCTCAATCGGTCTATTGAACAGGTTTATGTGGGTTATCAAAGCTTTTACTCAGAAACTTTGTTGTGCTGAGAAGCTGCATACTGAGATTAAACTGCGTTTTGAGCTGAAAGTATTCTGGTGTAGCAAAAACTTTTGAAACACCTAGAAAATAAAAGTGATTATGAGGGTATTTTAAAAGTTTTCAAAAGCATTTAAAGTAAATGCAATTTATTGACGATGGTTTAAAGATACTCAAATAGTAACACAGATCAAATAGCCAAAAAAAATCGCATAAATAGAATGGAAACTATATACCTTGATTGATTATTATAAAATATAGACCAAAACAGCGATTTTGTCTACCGAATAGAGTTATTTTTGTTTGAAATTATTGCAATTTAATCTAGTTGCGACCCATTCCGGGCCCTCATTCCCAATTGGTCGACCCCAGAACATCATTAAATTTGACACTGTCCCCGTTCCGCCCACAGGCTTCTCTTTTTCCATTTCCCATTTTATTTTATTTATTTTCCCATGGACATGGAGTGCGCATAATTGTGCTAAGAGGAATTGCCGCGAGGACAACAATGGAGGATGGGGAGGAATCTGGGGACACTGGCCACAAAAGTGGCGCATCAAGTGACCAACATTTACATAATTATTAGAAACAGTTAAATGTCCACAAATTGTACACTGGCCGGCTCACGGGGGAGTCATTACTTACATTACTTACATTTCTAACTGAGGGGCGCGGATGTGTATGCGGATGCGGATGCCCACGCTATCTGGCAGCCAAATATCTTGGCCGTAATTTAGAGACTCCCAGGACGAGCCTCTCATCCTGTTCCTGTTGACGTGCGTGCCTTTGACTATTTAAAATTGTGCGCTTCTCAGCAGGACGAGGGGTGAAAGGAATGGGGGTGAAATAAAATAAAATGTAATTTTTATTAGGCTTGGTGGTTTTTATTGTCTGCTTTATCGTTCTCACAAGTCCTTGTCTCTGCCGCTTGTCTTGTCTGATATTTGTCTATGGCATGTCCTGGTCATGCCACAAGTCGCACACCCATACACCCAAATACCCAAACACACACACACACACACAGATAAATGGACTTGGCCACAGGACATGCCCTCTCCTTGGCCCTTTGGAGATTTTTGGTTTTGTTTCTTGTCTTCTATTTTTTTATGACTTTTTTATTGACTTGATTATTATGATGTTGTTTGTTGTTTGTTGTTCTCGGCCAGCCAAAAGTTTTCTTAGGCCCCAGAGCAGAGGAAATTAAAAAATAATTTAGAGCCCGGGGTTCAAGGGTTGTGCGGCATCAATTGTGGAGCACAGCCTGTGCTTGATTGCCTTCGACTGGTCTTATAAATAACACAGGGGTGTTTGGCCCTCGGGAATAAAATAAATTAAATCATTGTGATGCCCTGTAATGTCTCTCTAGTTATTTTAATTCCTTCTCATTCGTTTGATAATAAGTGGCACAGCTTTAAAACCACCTTGTTCCCTTTTTGTAATAAATATTTGTATAAGCCTTACTTTTAAAATGTCTAAATGTAAGTATGTGTTTTGATTTCTAAATTGCAATCTACCAATATATCCTTCGCTACCCATTGTCTGATTTTTTTTGCCATCGAAAACATAGGCATATCGTATGTGTAAGTACTTGAATATACTATATAGCCAACTGCGAGTGTTTTTTTTTTAAGGGCTCCTCTCATATTTCACAGGAATGCCAACGAAATCAGATGAAGGTAAAAAATATGCGATGAGTGTAAATCGAACCTGTGCACACTCAATAAATTGCCAAATAAGAAATAAACAAGAAACAAAAACAGAAGAGAAATTTGAAATTTTGCCAATTAATTGAAAAAAGTGTCCAAGACACCTTGACAACATGGTTCGAGAATTTATGGAGCAGATGCCAAATGAAATACTAGAAGGAAATTCCATGAGTAACTTTTCCCAAGCGTTTTTCGGTGGAAAACTAATAACGAAATGGCTATCGAATGACCAGATAAGATAAGTCCACTGGGTTGTACTGAAATCTACTTGATGCACTGGGGCTCTTAAAGTTACTGTCGTCTTAAAATCGCTTTTGAGAAAGCCATTTAGCTGCTGGCGGTTCAAATAAAGTGCCACCAAAACGTCAAGGGCGACGGAAGCCCACAAAAAAAAAATGGAAAGAAAATCAAAACAAGATGAACCCAAGCGCACAAAGACCAAAAACCAAGAACCAAAAACCGAGGGGACGCCAAGAAAAGAAACCACAAAGGAAGAGCAAGTCTCATAATTAAAAATTAAGCCATTCGCCTATTAGTTTTAACCCTCATTAACTTTAGATAAACTAATCTCCAAAGTAAACCACTCGCATTCAAAGCCCAAGTTAAACTGACACGACCCTTGCCAAAAGGGGGAATCCCCACACCACCCCCTCCCCACCCACTTTTCCGCCCACCCCATCAGGGTTTCAGTTCTTTTTTTTTATTCCGCGCGCGCCTACAGTGCGTGAAAAGCTCATCAACTTGGGGGCAACTGGTTCCTCAGACACACAACGAAATGATGTAGAAACTGAGTAGAAAAAAACCCGAACCTAATATGCTAAAAAAAAAGAGTAGAGGATGGAACCCATCGAGAGCAGCCAGAGAAAGGCAAGATAATTAAAAACGCAACCTTGATGGAAAATGAAATGTTTACAAAGACACTGCCTCAGTCCCGTCTCCACCCCCCAAAAAAGTGAAAGAAAGCGGTGAAAGGCGCCAAGAAAGTCGAGGAAAACATTTGCACTGCTCAGCCAGCGGGACAAAACGAGAACCTAAACGGATACTCGCTGCGGATGCAAAGTTTACTCGGGCAAAACGAAAAAACAAAACAAACAAAACAAACAAAAAATTGAAAATGGCAAGTAGGAGGCCTAGGAAAGTCAAAGGGCCTCAAGACAGGGCCAGCAGAGCGCGGAGGAGCGCCCAAAGTCAGGCCGAAATTAACCGGAACGTTTTCTTATTCAGTAAAAGAGAAATGAGGAACCCAAGAATAGTCGCAGCTTTATCCCCAATCACAAAGGATCAAGGACATTGAATAACTAAAACTTTGATTAACTTTTGCCTAAATTATAATACATTCGAGAAATAAATAAGAAAATTTGTTACTTTGGTAATTTTGGAAAGTTTATTTACTTTACTAATCGATAGACTTACACAGTTTTTTTGTTGTATATAATCATGTATATTCAATTAGAGCTACTTATAGTTTAAACACAATTGCTTTGCTCATTGTTGCATAGTAAATTCTAGAATAACAAAACCAGTTAATGATAGTTACAAAGCGCCAAAATTGAGCAAATTACACGAAGCACTTGACTTTACACCTATAAAAAATGAGAATTCACACACACACAGATACGCTTAAAAAGTATGGGAACGAGAGCAAACCATTTACATTGTATATGAAGCTGCCTTATTGGCCAAATAATACCGCGAGTTTCAACTTTAAAGCATTAGTGGTCAACCAGGGTGTTAAATAATAATAAAAAACTTTACACGGGTGAAAAATCTATACATCGCTACTTAAACTAAACCGAACGACTTTGGGTAAATTGTCAATTGTCATATATGCTTCTCTGCCATGGCTAATTCGTTGGTGGTCGATGGTTCTGCTGTTGCTGTTGTTGTTGTTGCTGCTTGCCACTTCCGGTGGCTCCACCATCCCGCTCCACTTTGTTCTCGCGCACCATCAGCAGCAGTTGCAGCATCATGAGGGCCTGCACCTTGTCCAGCGGATCCATAAATCCGCGCTGCAACCACTTGGGTATGGTGGTGCGGGCATGGCTAAAGCCCAGCTTGTTAAGGATATAGTCGACGCCATATGGCTCAATGGACTTGCCCGCCCACGAGAGCAGTCGCACTGTGGGCTCCAAGTGCCACGTTTGGCACTCAAAGTGCCGCCAGTCGCGCACAAACGATTCGAGATCGAAGCTGGACGTAGAGTTCTCCTGTTTGATGCCATCGGTGGCATCGCTGGCTGCGCTGGCTGTTGATGCGCCACCAGCTGTCGCTCCGGGCGACAAGGTTGTGGATGATGATGATGATGTGGTGGCGGTGGTGGCGGTCGAAGTCGTCGTCGTCGTCGTCGTCGCCATGTTCGTTGTCGCCGCTCCCGACACGTGGGCGTTGGGAGCATTCGCTAGGCTCGTGTGGCTGCCCTGCAGCGGATCCAGACTGCTCTTGCTGGCGCTCATCTGCTTGCCCTGGGCAGTGAGGTTCGTATTGGAGGCGCCCTTCTTCTCCTTGAGTATCTCGTCGGTCAAGTATGGCTTCAGGTTGGCCTTCTGCGAGAGATTCGGTGAAGCGGCCCGCGCCGACTGAGCTCCAATCTGGAGGGTGACATGAATATATGACTTAAAATTCAAACAAAAATCATCCACAACTTACCACCTTCTCCTTTTCCGTCACATAGGAGGTGATGAGATCGTGCAGGAAGAAGAAGGCGTCCGCATCAACGGTCACAAAGATGTGGTCATCGAACTCCGTGATGAAGCTGCACAAAACTTCTGGCTTGTTTTCTGCAAGTTAACATAAATAAATTAAAAAGCTTTAAAATAGTTTATAGTATTTACCAGTTGGCTCTGGTGTGGTTGGTCCCTGTTTGTGCTCAGTCTTGAAATGCAGCTGGAGGCTGGGCAGGGCAAAGATGACCTCCCGGTTGTGGTTGTGCTCCTGCGCCTTGGCCGCACTGCTGCTGCCGGAGGCCCGCGTTCGCTCTATGGAATTGGAGGCGATCTCCCGCTCGCACTCCAGCATGGGGAAGCGATCCACAGCTGAAAAATATGGTAAAAGATCGAGTTAATTTAACAGATTCCATATAGAACCAGTTGTTAACCCACCATCAATCTCGCTGTTGGCGAACGCGTAGTGGAACCACTCATTGAGCGTCTTGAACTGCGGCGGAAAGATGATGTTCCTGGTGATGCGGCTCACGATGGCCATCGAGTGGTTCTGCTGCTGCTGCACCTCCGTCGTCTGTCCCAAAGAGGAGGTGAGTGTCTGGGTGACCAGCACTTCGTCCTCG